AGGGAATGACACATGGTCTGAAATGGGACAACATTGCGCCATAGCTGAAAAGCATTCCTAGTAAAAAGAAATAATGCTCAAGGGAATGACACATGGTCTGAAATGGGTAAACATTGCACCATAGCTGAAAAGCATTCCTAGTAAAGAAAGAAATAATACTCAAGGAATGACACGTGGTCTGAAATAGAGTGCGTAGGAAACTAACCTGACTTCTCTGCACGAAAATATCCTTTCCTGCTCGGATGAAATCCGCAGCATCGAAACATGGTTCGAACTCAGTGGTTACAAATTTCCCTTGATGTGCTAGTTCATGTCTTTCTTCGACGCTTCGCATAGGATATTCCTGGAATATTTATTATCAATAACGTTAAATAATGACTATTATTATATAGTTAGGATAGTACGCGCGCGTTAATTGGTCGAAAACTGTGCTTTATTACTGAACGGAGCACGCGCTAAGTGCTGCTAGATCCTGCAACCGTCTATCTTTTTGCGTAAGTAAATTCAATATCAAAATAAGATTAGTAACTATATAATAAAACGAATAAAACAGCTTTTTCCGTTCTCCGTTCAGTGATAAAGCACTAAGGAAGCGCCGTAAGCACTCAAGAAGTGTAAGAAGCACTGGTCTACGGCAAGGCTTCTCCTTACACTTCTTTCGTGCTTACGCCTATTTTTGCGTGTTTCTTCACTGAACGGAGCACGGAAAAAACTGTTGTATTCGTTAAATAATATATCATTGATGGGATATAAGGGAAGAGAGTTGGTATGTGCTTCAAATCATGCGCCGCAAACAGAACAATTATCAATCTAGTCAGATTGCTTGCTTGGTGCATTGGATCGGGTGCTGCTAGCAGTCAAGCGCCCCCTAACTTATCCCACAGTTCTATGCGGTGCACACTAGTTACAAATCTACCTTATGCTTACCAAATCGTAAAGGTCGTCACTCATCTGTGGTTTAGGAGCAGTGGTCCATTTTGCTCCCTTTCTAAAGTATTCCTTGATGAGGGGTCTGTAGGCACGATACTCGAAGAATCTACTGCGCCACGCCATGGGACTCTCGATGATCTCATTACCAATCACTAACAGGATATCTCGGGGCATGGCAGAATACATCCCTCTTGATTCGAAGTCTGGGGTTTTGTAGGTCTGTCAAACGACATTCAAAGTGAGGGAGGAGTGTAAGCAGAAGGTGGAAAAAGAAATTTTTACAATAACTTACAAATTTCTCGCGCGCTGATTGGTTATTTTTTTATCATCAGTAAGAGGGCAGACAGATAAAGCTGGCGTCAACGAGCGCGCGCTCTTTCCGTTGGTTGTTTTGATCGCTAAAAATGAGAACTTTTTATCGTTTGCAGTACGCCTACGCCTCGTGCATCCACACTACTTTGACAATGTGATGACGCAATTTATCGCCAATAAGAGGACAGATACATAAAAAACTGATGTCTTATTTGTTAAAGATCTGACGATGGACATCATGCGAAACTTGTATTGTTATTCCATTCATGAACAACCGGTCCTTGTCGTCATCATCGTCGTCGTTATCATCAACATAACCATCATTATCATCATACAGTATCACTATCAGCATCATCATTATTATCACCAAACCATGTATTATTATGCTAAACATCAACGTCATCATCGGTCATCACCAGCATCACCACCATAATCATCACTATCATCGTCGTCATTATCATTGTAACAATAATCCTCATCTTACATTATGCCGCCAACCGGTTGGCTCAGTTGGTTGAGCATCGGACTTTCGTACGGGAGGTCGTGGTTCGATTCCCGGCCGGACCAACACTCAGGGTCTTAAAATAACTGAGGAGAAGGTGCTGCTTTTGTAATTACATCTGCAAATGGTTAGACTTTCAAGTGGCTCGGATGACTACTTTAAATGGCGGTCCCGTCTCTCCACACTTCATCATTACTAACCAACATCGGAGGGACGTAAAAGAACCACTGAGGACGTAAAGAAACCCTGGCAGTGACCACCCTCAGTGCCTACACTTCATACTAATCATCTCTCATGCTTGCAAAAAAAAGCAATCTGTCATTCAATCTGTCATTCAATCTGTCAACTCAATGTAAAGCGCCTTTGATTATATCCATATAGAAAGTACTCTACATAAATCATTATAATTATGTTACCTGGGAGAAGTCCACCAGTTCTGGTCGTCTCACTGTCACTCCTTCATGTTTCAACACATTACAAAACTCTTCGATTTCTTCCACCGCTTTCTCTGTGTGTTCTCTCGGGAAGGGTTGGCCGCCATATTTCTCGAAGAAAGGCCAGTTCCTGTGGTGTGTGTTGGCTCTCACCTCGACTGAAAAGAATGGCACAATTGCTCCTGCAAAAATGAATTCGTGCTACATGTGAAAAGATATAAATAGTAATTTTGATTGTTTGAAAAAATGAATAATTAAATGGTTGGATGACTGGAAGAGTTGAAGGATGGATGGATGGATGATGGGATGAATGCATGAATAAATGGGTGGTTGGATGAATGGATGGAACGGAATAGATGAATAAAGGACATGAATGGATGGATGGATGGAAGGGATGGATAGATGGTATGGATGGATGATCGGATAAATGCATGAATAAATGGATGAATGGGTGGTTGGATGGATTGATGGATTGATGGATGGTATGAATAGATGGATGGAACGGAATAGATGGATAAATGACACAAATGGATGGATGGATATATGGTATAGGATGGGATAGGATGGAAGGAATAGATAGATGGGATAAGATGGATGGATATATAGGATAAGATGGGATGGGATGGAAGAAATAGATAGATGGAATGGGATGGATATATGGGATAGGATGGGATGGAAGAAATAGATAGATGGAATGGGATGGCTATATGGGATAGGATGGGATGGAAGGAATAGATAGATGGGATGGGATGGATGGATATATGGGATATGATGGGATGTATACCTTCAGCTCTTCCAACAATAACTTCCTCCAGCGTGTCCCACTCATTGTAAGAAGATACTGGACATTCTTCAGGTAGTTCAGCGAGGTTTTCAGCAAACTTCTTACTGGGTAACTCGGAATTATTCAAAAGAATTGTCTTTTGGGTGTGAAAACCGCGCTCTCGTGACATGCAGCGAAACTAATAAAAAGATAAAAGTATTAATAATTCAAATAGTTGACCCTAATTAACGTACCGTTATAGAGTATTCTTAAAATCTGAAATCCACTTTGCAGTGGTGGATCTAGGAATTTTAGAAGGGGGGTGACTATTACAAAGGTTTTACCAAGATTGCAAGGAAAAGGGGGTGGCTTACTAAGGTTAATACCGAGAAATTTGAGCGACAGGGGATGGATGAATGAATGAACAGTTATTTAAACAGGGTAATCCCTTCAGTTACATGGAATGTATAACTGCTATCAATAGGAGCCCTAATAAATATAAGATAATAAATAATTTAGGTTAAAAAGCTAAAATATGAAGCTATGGTAATAAAATCCAAAGTATGTTAATAAGATCTAAAATATGATACTAAAATATAATACTAAGGCCGAGGTTAGACGTCGACCCCACATGCCCCGAATTCAACGCAAACGAGCAAACGCTAACAATTTCATTTGCATTGGGCTCGAGACATGCGAAACTCGACGCCCAAACCCGACCCAATCACACGTAGCCTAGTATATGTTTAAATATTAATTGAAGTATATCTATATAAAATTACGTATTAATCATATAAAGCAACAAGAAAGTGAATAAATATGTGTAGAAAAATTATGACGAAGAAATAACTATGTTAAAAATGTATTATAAACTGTGCAACCATAATAATAAAAGCTGCGCTTAGCGATTTCCGTTCTTACCCTAGGTAAATGTAGAAGATKGCTTTGTCTCGTTGAGCGCTGGGAARCACTACTATTAAATTTARAATAATTAATGAAGAATTGCGGACAGCGGCCACTTATGCATTTCTTTACTAGTTTAAAAGTATGATGGTCGCGCCTACTTGAAAGTGTTCCCCRCTTTAAGGAGTCCATTGCGTTATCACTGTCATGGGACTTAACAACTATGCGTGCTGCACGTCTTTGCAACCTTTCTAGKTCTTTACTATTTACCTCACCACAACAGTGGTATACGGTATCACAGYAATCTAAARTAGGACRAATAAATGACATATAAATAATGTTTGCACAATGCGCTGTCAAGTTATGCCTAATACGCCCTAACATACCGACTCTTTTACCAGCCTTAGCCAAGAGGTATTTAACATGAGCATTCCAGCTAACATGCTGGTCAAATACGATACYTAAGTAKCTAAATTCATAGACACGCTTAATGGTSTGTCCATTGACTTGAATATTAAAATGATCTACATTGTTCAACTTTGCATGAGTTYCAAATAGCAGAGAGTCAGTCTTAGTAGCATTCAGGAATAAACTATTTTCCCTCAGCCAGCAGACAATAGCATTCAGCTCGTCATTCAACTTCAGTTCAATCGTATAGACATCAGAACTGGAGAAGAATAATACAGTGTCGTCTGCATACAGTAGAATGCTGCAGTGATGAATTACGTCTGGAAGGTCATTAACATGCAGGACAAACAGCAGCGGACCTAGGATTGACCCCTGCGGAACACCAATGGTCACGTGTTCATGGTCTGAGAGGGTACCATGAAAGTCCACAACCTGGGACCGCCCAGATAGATAGTCACCAAGCCATTTGTTCTCGTGACCAACTACCCCAAGAACTGTTAACTTGTGGAGTAGAATCATGTGATCCACCGTATCAAACGCCTTACGTAGATCCACAAAGACAGCACCAGTTAAAAGGCCCTGGTCAATGTTTCGGCGAATAGTATCAGCAAAGAAAACAGCAGCAAACTCGGTGGAATGTCCTTTACGAAAACCACACTGGTACGGACTTAGGAGCTTGTGTTCCTGGAGGTAATTAACCAACTAATTATGGACCACCCTTTCAAGAAATTTGGAGATAGTAGGTAGAATGGAGATGGGACGATAGTTGTCCATATCACTAGCACTACCGTTCTTGAACAAGGGTACGACACGTGCTGCTTTCCAGTCAGCTGGAAACTTGGCCTGTGACAAAGAGGCATTAATGATGTTTGTTAAAGGCCTTGCCAATATATCCGCAGCATCTTTGAGTAAGCGTGGATGAATGTCATCTAGTCCAACTGCTTTACCAGTTTTAAGACAGCGTAGTTGGGAAAGGATAACACTTTCCGATACTTCCTTAAACTTGAACGGAGGTCGCTGATTTGGCTGCCCAGGAACGTTATTATCATGATCTTGATCGCCAAAGTTCACGGATACTTTTCTACCAAACGATTTCATAAGTGTAATTGCAGCACCAGCAAAGAACTTATTGAATGCGTTAGCAATAGTATTCTTCTCAGATGTAGACGTTCCTTCGATTTTAATGCTGTGAGACGCCTCCTTGCTTTCTCCAGGTAAGATCTTTTTGACCGTTTTCCAAAACGACTTCTGATCAAGGGCACTAGGACACCGAATATGGTTGGATTTCTATATGTTTTTTCCCCTTTCGATTATTTGAATTAAATTAACGTTATATACTTGTTTA